GTTTAACATGACTGTTTCTAATAGGAAACATATGGTTTCTCTTCTGGTTCTGTATTTCATCTTTCCACAGCCTCTTCACCGCGGGGCAGAGGCAGTGCTCCCACCAGCCCCCTGCCCCCCCCACAGCCTGCGCCGACTGCCCCAGTGTCCTCCGGTTCACCTCAGCCACACTGTACCTGTGTCTCTCACCCTGTCTCTCTCCACTGGCCCCGGGCAGCAGAGACCCCCAGCGCCTCCACCTCACCGAACCCCTCCACCTCACTTCCATGTCGCAACCAGGGGAGCATCATTTCACAGTGTCTCACGCCTTAACTCCTGCAGGATGGTCATGGTGAGCAAGTTCTCTCTTCCCTCAGTTGGAAACATTTTATTTGATGGTGTAACTTAATTCCCCCACTGGGTCTGGGAAGCTTTTTCTCACTGTTAAAAGCCTAACTAGGGAAATGATGTTGTCCGCTGTATCTTCAGACGAGTGTTGTGACGTTGACCATTTTCATGGCTCTTTTCAATGTCATAAAATAAAGAGGTTACCTTTGAGCTGGTATCATCCAAACAAGGCTTCAACTCTACAAAAGAAACCATCACATAAATAATAAAAATGGAGCCAGACTTGGAGAGGGAGGAGACAGAGAAGATGAAACAGCAACAGGAGTGAGCAAGTATGTCCACATATCACAGGGATATGAACTTGCTGCCACTAGTATTTTTGGAGTTTAGTTATGGCTTGGCAGACTGACATAGATGAGTGGGAGATGAAGTTACATGTTCCTGGTGTTAAATCCCTCTCACTCAGTGATTCTCAAAGACTTATATTTGCCTTTAATCCAGTTCGACTTGTACTTTGGGGGCAACTGAGACTGAGCGACCCAATAAGAGATGAACCAAAAAACTAAGATAATGGCTTGAGATAATGAGGAAAAGGAATTGATTTACTGAAGATATTTTAAAGTCTATTTTTAAAGTCCTTTTTCAGGCAATAACTGCAAACAGTCACTGCTTCCAAACTCTCAAATGTGTGGGTTTACTTTTATTTTGGAGTTTTGGTTAGAAAAAACAAGCAAATGTGGCCTCTGGAAAAGCTGTGAAGGTAATCTTTCTGACATTTTTATTGACCAAAAAGAAAAGAGAACCACAAATCACTAATAAAAAAATAAACAAAAATTGCAGCTGTAAACATACAAACAAGTAAATGTAGAAAAAGATGAAATGCAGATGAAAGAACAGTATTGAGTTCCAGCCTGAAACTAGACCTGAGTTAACTTTAATTTATGTCAGTGACTGCAGTCTAGCTTTTAAGGACAGCGCTGAAAATGACGCCACAGGGAAGCTGAGGTCAAAGCGATGCCACACCAATATCCAGCTAATTAACAGATAATGACATTCTAGTCTCGTCCAGACTAATGAAGGGGTCATAAAAGAGGTCTGGCATTAAAACACAACACTATTCTGGAGCTAATAAATGTTATGACAGCATATGATGGAATAGTGCTTTACATAATTATTCCTTTAATTTTCACTGATAGGCGTGTTTTCATAATGTTCTATCAGTGTTAACTTTTTTGCATAATTTATTATCAGGGACAGTGCGCATTAATGGTCATGGTCCCCACATTCAGTATTTATAAGTGTTTGTTAATGTATTTTTCAAGAGCTGTAACTCATGTGGGCAATAATGAGGGGAGGCTGGTGTTTATACAGGAAGTGTAAGATAGCATAATAAAACAGGTGTAATAAAAGATATAACTTCATGGGAGACGTTAAAATTGGCAGCAAAGTGTCTTTATTTCTCCTTATGACTACATTATACTGTGTAACAAAGCCTTTAGAGGGAAGGTTACTGTGGACATCACTGTGATGTAAATATGCCAGAACCGGCTAAATGGCTAGGTGCTATTTGCAGTTCCTGGACAGCTTGGTTTTAAAAGTTAAAAAAGTTAAAAGTTAAAATTGCAGACAACAACATTAAAGATCATAAAGCAAAATGCAGTATGGATAAAAAAAGGAATCCTTTAGAACATACAGGATAGTTTTTTGTATGTTCATTTTAAAAAAGCACCATTCAGTTTCACTGGTTTTTATACACCTGTACAGCAGGTGAAAAGCAGCAGGTCTTGGCGGTGTCTTGACTTTGGGAAATATATTTTCCCGCTCAGATGCTCTTATTTAATGCTAATGTGCGGAACTGAAAGTGAGTCCTGTTGGCAGCAGACTTCACCAACAGTGTCTAAGTTAAAACTGCAGCAGCACTTTGTGCTTACTAATCACCTTCTCAGACTTGCTCTTTTCCTTTGCTTGCTTTTCACTTTACTGTCATTTGGTGCAGTCCTGCTGTTTTTGGATGGAGCTCAAGCTAGTCCCTTGCATGACGATACTGTTTATCAATATAATGAATTAATGGCAGGACTTCAATAGTAACGCTTGTCATGCTATTCGACCTTATGGATTCAAAGGGGAGATATATTATGTATTTAAGACTTCGTTAACAGCATCGAGTTTTCAATGAAAACATTTACTTAAGGAATCAAATTTACCTTCCACATAGGAGTTATGTTTTGAATTGGCAGACCCACTGGTGAGTGAGCTTCTTCCTTTCTGAAGTTTGACAAGGCTTCTTTCCAACCAAGGAGAAGAGGAGGTGTATGGAGACCAGGTGGGGGCTAGGGTAGTAGGCCTTAATCATGAGCTCAGCCCTCCAGAGAAGATTAAAACCACACGACAGCTCCTATCATCTGCTGCCCCGATGTTTCAGAGAGCCTGAGCTGTAATTGTCTGACTGTGAGTGCCACCTGGTGGAGATTCTCTGTCATTATTATGTGTCTGACCTTTGTTAGGAGTTAGAGAAGCCCAGTCCTCCTCAGAAACCCCTTCCCGCTGATCCAAGGAGCTCTCGTCTGGTTCAAAGTCCCTCTGTTGTACAGGGCCACACTCTAGTCCAAGGACCCTCTACTGTTTGTGGCCCTGCACCAAAACCCAGTATATCTACACCTATGCGCCCTGTCCCACATCCCAAGAGGTGAGTTCCAAGATTCACAAAATAAAGTTACTATTAAATGTAAAGCTGGTATCATTTACTTTGACACACTGTGCTCATGTTTGTATTGCTTTTTCCCCTCTTTTAGACCCAGTCCCAAGCAGCCTCCAACTCTACCAAAGCCTTGCATAATTGCCAGTGTCAAATACAGCAGCTGAGACTTTGGCCAGAAGGGACGTTTTTGTGAAAAGACACTAAAAAAAATTGCACTATGAAAAATCTGAAAACCTTAAAAAAGATGGTGGCTTCTCTGAGGTCGAATCAGAAGATCTACCATGGCCCTTTGGCGTTCTTTCTCTGAATGGTGCTATGAGTCTGAGCTCAGGTACATCAAAATTATTTATATTCTGTATTTATTGTCACACAGGGCTCTGTGCCAGACGTTTTTACAACACGGTAGCAACTTAAAATTTTGATTTGTTGTTTGCATTGATTTCAATTTTTTTCACATCAGCTGATCTTAATCAAGGAGATTAATGGGAGACTTACAAAAAAGCCAATCTGTGAAATTGTGATTGCAAAAATGTTTTTGTGAAATGTGTTTTAATGAAGAAATCCTTTTACCTGATAGTTTTGTTCTATGTAATAACAGAAGGGTTACTGTGCAATCTCAGATGAGAACAGAGAAAACTTCACACAATGCTTCTAGTTCATTTGCAGTTTTTCTCGAAGGGTAACACTCTGAGCCAGGCTGAAAACGACAAGAGAAAAAGAACACCCTTTTGCTACAGCAGGTCTGCAAATGTGATTGATTAAACAACTGAAACACTGTGGGGGAGTGATGGACTGAAAATACAGCCCTGTTTCTTGTCCATTTATATTACAGAGAGGTAAGTTGAACTGTGAAATGTCACTGATTTGCCATTTCCTTTGCATTAACAAGACCCGAGAAGCTCGCTCGAGGAATCTATGAACTGAACATGGATTTTAAATAAGCCAAGATCAAGAAGCACTCACCCCTCAGAGAGAGTGAACTCCTCTCAAATATTGCTCTACTAAAGGTCATGCATGTTTTTGAGCATTTCTCCCTATGCCTGTCTACATCGAGGACTCTGTGAGAAACTAAAGATTTTCTTATGGCAGGAGTCACATGTTTCACAGAGGGACTCGCATCTAAACACCCAGTGTCTGACTACAGTGTTTATTTGTAGATTTTAAATCATGTTTGATAGATTCACTCAACAAAGACACATTTCTCAATCTTACTGCCACTGCCACCAGCCATCCAAAACTAACTGGCAGTAATTCCTTTTCTATTTTGTGTACCTTTTTGCTTTGGCTGTCGAGATATGTTTTATCAAGCCAATCTAATGCCATATACAAAATCCTGCACAAATTAGATGTTGTAATTGAGTGTTTTATTATTTTTGCAGACGTGTTACTGGATTGCACCATGTATACATTTACAGTGAGCAATATTTCTTTTAAGCACAGCTCTTATTCACAAATATGTAGGCCGAGAACAGACAGACTAGATTTTTGTTACTTTTAATAACTTATCTTTTTAATAATGCAGTAGTTTTGCATTCAATGCTTTGTTTTCTTTGCTCTTTCAATGCTATGTACCCATGTGCCAATAGACAGTATTTGATCCCAGTCACTTGACTGTAGGCTTACACTATGTCTATGTTCCTTGTATGTTGTGTTACAGGTGAACACAATTTCATGGAGAATGCTTTTTTTTATGATGATTGATACATCATATGTAAAGAAAACCCGTGTCAGTGTCGAGTCATGCTATTTTGAGCACTCAACAGTAATATTAAAACTGCTTTTAAAAGAGTTCAGCACTCACTCTTTACATAATGTGAACTGAGGCTCAGATAACGATACACAACTGAGAAACTCCTGATCACTGCAATGGACTAATCTAATTACAAAGTTGCTGATGCAAGCAGAGTTTATTTGCCAAAAAAGGTTAGAGGTTGGCATGCAAAGGTAAAAAACAATAAGACAACAATTAGCCATGTACTGCAGGTTGCCCAGCTCTTGTGTTAATAGTTTACCTATTTTCAGGTGCCATATTGACATATTTTACATTTGTTCTTGGTTACTATCAGACCTATAGGAGGCTATATTTTACACGACAGTGGAGTTGAAACGTTGAGGTCTGTCTGATGCTCAAGTCCTTTCACTGATATCTGGATAGGCTCAGATAAATTCACTTATTTTATTCAAGTAGCCCTATCATGTGCCTCACATCTGAAAATAAAAATAAAATAATAAAATTGATAAAAGTGGTAAAGTCTTACACTTAGGGAGCCCCTAAGATTTTCTTGTCATGATAAGTGACCTATTTCTCATATTTATGCCATGACCTCATAGCTGTGACCTACTGTCCCAAAATAAAGATATGGGAAACAAAGTAATAATTATAGTGGGAAAAACATCAAAACATGGAAAGATGACTATTTGGAGGCTATGGCCTGTGAGAACATCCACAGCTTGAGCACCCTCACTACTTTACACGTGGTCATGTGGATAATATTCAGGTGCTTATGACAGGACACTACTCACTAGTCACTTTGAAGCACTATGCAAATCAAAACACATGTGAAACCACAATGGAGAGAAATTACACACCGGTGCTCGTTGCTCCTAAGCCAGCCTCAGACTGGAGAGCTCCAAACTTTGAACAGCTTAATAAATATGATTTTAGCAATTCACAGCTGAGTGACCATTTATTACCTGCTTCGTCTGAGTAACTGAGCAGAAACAGTAACAAAAGATAATTGTTTTATCTGCAGTATAATCTGAATGGAGTCGCAGCTTGAACGTGCTGGCTTCCTGATTCACACACTTAGGTCATGTTGAGCGAATGTTGCTCAGCTGAGCCAGACATTTACCTGGAAAGTGAAGAATGTCCTGGGGAAGGTTCCTTTGCCTTTGAAGAGGATCTGGAGTTAAATCAGTTCAACAGATTTCCCTTTTCATCAGATTACTACAAATTACTAAAAGAGAGAAACAATCTGTGTGTGTGGAAGGTCAAGTGCGAATTTGAGGATGCTCTGGTAAACAACCAATTGGTTATTGTGTCCAGGGCAGCAAAGACTGGCAGGAGTACACAGGTAAGACTACATGTTAAGATAATTAATAATAATTACTGTTGAATGCCCTTAAAATTGACTCATTCTGGAGATTTTTGGGACTGTAGTTAATGAATAGTGCATCTCCAATAATTTCTCTGTTCAGGGGCATTTAGACCCAAATACCACATCATAACTAAATTTGTGTGACTCCTATGCAGTTTGATTGCCACATGCTTAGTCCTGCTTAGTCAACAGAAAATTGTCTGCTTCCCTAGGTTTGACTGTATCTTTATGTTGTGACCTTCTGCCCATCATTGACATGTTGATCAGTCTAACAGCACAATGTTTTTGTTTGACATATTAGTTTTAGACTGAATGAACTTATGTTGTGTGACAGGCTGCCCAGCCTGTCCAAGCTCCTACACACAGGCAGAAGCTTGGACATCAACTGAAAAATAAGTTGATGTGAACAGAAAATGGTGTTTTATGGAGAATTAGTTCTCTGAAGTTCTCTGGACGTCAGTGTAGGCCATGAAGAGGGTTACAGCACTCCTCTGGAGACCTGCTGCTCCTTTGACACTGTGCTTGGTTTGTTGATGAGTTGTCACCATGCTTGTTTATAACTACATGACTTATTTCTGCTTCAGCAATTATCCTGTTCAGTAGTTTCCAATGTAAAAAGTTAGTTTTGTATTATAATGCCTCTAATATTAACCTCTCTTGTATTACTTAGATATTTCACGGCTGATTGTGCTGCTGACAGAGATGACGTCAGACCCTTTTCTGGAGCACTGTGGGGTCATTATTATTGACCAGGCCCATGAGAGGGCAGTTAGCACAGGCATACCACTAGGTCTAACACAGCCATCAACAGGCATCTGTCTCCCACAGCCAAAGATGTGTATGTGGGAGTTTTTCAGCTAGAGAAACTAGAGATGAATGTGCTCTTTGTAGTAGCTGTTCAGGTCTAGTCAGCCATGATGTAGCTGAGCTGACAGGACCCTGCTACTAACCATTGTTAGCAGCAGGGTCCTGTCAGTCTAATATGAACAGTACACAACAGGCTAAAAGAGGCCAGCTCATTAACGATTATACAACATGTCTCATTAGGGCAGCACCAGACAAGTACAAGGAAAGCGAAGTACAAGCCATGTGCACTGTAATATCTCCACATTCTTGCAAAATTTGGCACAGTTGTCACTTGCTCTAATATGTACGTATGTGCCATTAAGTGTAAAGGTTATGTGGGAAATAGAAAGATTAAAGGCCTCAAGTGAAGGATTTTTTTCCAATTATGGTATCTTTCAAATTATTCTGATGGCATTCATGCTTCTGTATTCATTTTTGGCAGATCCTTAGGGTCTCATGCAGGTGCTGGAGGAGCAGGACTACCTGGCAGCTTTAGATGATGGCAACTTGTGTGATATTTGCATTATAAAATCTGAAATCCCCCTGGAGCCTCAGATGGCCAAAGCTCTGCTCGCATCCTGCGGGTTTGACTGTGGGAGTGGGATGTTGACGATTGCAGCAGTGCTGTCAGGTATGAATGTGGTATGAATAGGTTATAAACTTTGGTTTGTAATCAGAGTATGATTTGTTACAAGTACTCACACTGAGTGATGGTCCTTCTCTGACATTCATCTTGTGGACATTGTTGTATGAGCTCTTCTGCAGTTTCTCTCAGACACTGAGCCAGAGTGGCTGTGTTCAGTGATGGTGACCTTGTTGTTGTCTTGTCTTTAAGCTCCAAAGCGGTTCCTGGAGTCACCCGCTGGCATGACCCAAGAGGCAGTGCAGTTCCAGCACCCAGGAGGCTATTACTTCACCTTCATAAACATCTACAATGCCTTCAAACAAAGCCAGTAGACAGTTAGAGAAAAGAACCAGCCAGTAAAATGGTTTTAAATGTATATTTACACTTGACTCTGATTCATCCTTACTACAGTACTTCTGAATCTGTTCTTTACTGTTACAAAACAAATGAAGCTTTGTAACACAGAAACTACAGTCATCATATCAAGGCAATTTTATTTATAGAGTACATTTCATACACTAAGACAGTTTCAAGGTGCTTTATATTTCACTTTATAATGAATTGAAAAAATAGGTTATTATACTAATTATGCAGAAAATGTCAAATTTCTTCACATTAAAGTAATTAAAATCATTTAAAACTGATTTTAAAATATATATTTATGAAAATAATTTGCTATCAAAATACCAACTATAGTAAATAAAGTTAGACAATATGGACCCCATGAAGCTAACATTGTTTTAAATACAGTTCCATACTTATTTCTCAGTTGCAAGACATGCCTGAGTTTGAACATAATACTACCACTCACTATCTGTGATGCTTTTTCCCCAGACATCAGTACTGAAACGTGGTGCCAGGACTGTTTTCTGGATCATTCTGCCCTGAAGATAGCTGAGGCCATCAGATCAGACTTAAGTGGCATCCTCAGCAGAATCGAGCTTCCTATTTCTGAGCCCTCCTTTGAGACCAAGATCGACACTGCCAACACCAAAAGAGCTCTGCTGGCTGGGTTCTTCATGCAGGTATAGGGAAACAAAGTCAGTATTATTGTAAGTAATTAAAATGTATTGGCGTTTCTGGTGCCTTTCCTTTTCGTAGATTGCCAGAGATGTCAATGGATCAGGGAACTACTTCATCCTGACACACAAGTATGAGTATGCCATCAAAAAGCAACAGCATGAGAGTGGTATCTAAAATTTTCCCGCTAGTGTAGGAAAGTCCCTTATTAACACCACGATCACATATACCATGTGTACCAGCAGATTAGAGCTGAGTTGTCATGGCTTGTTTCCATTCTACACACTGGTGACACCCAGAAAATATGAAGAGAGACAAAAGGCTACCAGAGGTAGCACTGATACAACAGCAATTGTGCAGTGATTGGGCAGACTTATGACAGATGTGTTATTCAGTGATCTGAAATCATAAATGTGAAAATCTGGCCTCAAATCTTGAAATGCATATACTGTGTGCTTATAAAATGTTTGTAGTCATTACAAACCAGAGACTATAATATTAATTACATTTGCTTGATTTGATCACATGCTAACCTTTTCATTAGCACCAATTTTATCAGCTGTGGTCTAATACAACAGGTATAATAAGGATAAGGATAATCACCTTTATTGGCCAAGTATGTTACACACAAGGAATTTGTTTCCGGTACAGAACCGAGGCAGCCATCGGCAGCGCCACCTCAACCAATGGCTCTAACCATCAGGGGCAACGGGGGGTTCAGTGTCTTGTCCAAGGACACTTTGACACGTGGACTGGAGGCACCGAGATTTGAATCTCCGACCCTCCAGTTGGGAGATGACTGCTCTACCCACCGCACTGTCGCCTCCTTGTTTGCTGGCAAATTGTTCATGTCAGTATTTTCTCGCCTCCCTCCCGCTCTCTCACCCACCAATGCTGCATGTCTTGAAATGCAGGCATCCTGACAGTTGTTTAGATTTTTAGACTTTAATAAGCATCAGTGGGGTTGCAAATGGATGTTTTATGTCTGTGGCTGTACTATAAAGGCAGAAAATCCTCCTGGAACCAGGAAGAGGCAGATTAAGAGAGAGGGTCTACCACTGTGATGCAGGTACAAGCTGCCGCAGAAGTCATTTGTCACCTTGTTTACTTCCTTTCACTTGTTTTCACCTTTCTCTTTGGGTTGATGTGGTACGCAGGAATCTGGTTTTGACACTGAAACATTACACATTAAGGCATGCAGGTATTTAAGGCATGTATTAATAAATCAATAGAATATTGCTTTGGTACAAACTCCTTTGAAGAATGTCGGTTTACATACATGCCTATGTTCCATTAAAAGTCAAGTGTGTAAAAATCTGATTTCTATCAAGTTATGCCCTCAAAGAAAATCTGAAACGGCCATCACTTTGGTAAATTTAGCTGTACCATTCAGTAATTTGACTTAGTGGCAAAGGAGACATCACCTCGCCCCTCTAACTATACTTCAGACTCACCCATATCATCTGATGTCATTAACAGATTTGTCACCTTTGTTGTGGTTCTTAATTTTATCATAAATGAAACTCTTTGTAATAAAAATGTGATTGCTGTAATCATATTAGCATGGTACTACCGTTTTACAGTTTTGTACTATTAGCAGGGTATGTTTTCCTTTTGCACCGTCTAAGATAAACCAGGAATGTTTTTTTAAAATCTGCATCTCTAAAATTGCACAAATCACTGAGCAACATGTGCAAGTTTACAATGCTGGTACTGCTGTAGCTAATGGTATAAAAAACATTTTCTTCTAGCCTCCCTTAAGAGTAAAGTGAACCATTTCCATGAGCCCGACGGTATTCACCAAGACAAACAGACACAAAGACAGTTTCTTTCCCCGGGCTATTACACTGATTAACAGCTAGTCTATGTTCTATGTTATTTTAACTTGTACATATTGTGTATTTATTTTGTTCTTATGTTGTGCACATTGTGGGCCATTGAGCTGGAGTCAAATTCCTTGTATTCTTGAAATACTTGGCAATAAAGTTTATGCTTAAGTTTATGCTTATGCTTAAGTAAATATGTCTTTGTTTATTGTGAGGTTCACACAGATAGGTATTCTTTGAGTTTGTCCATGATGGCTGGCATCCTGTCTGCTGGTATCAGCATCACTGTCCTGAAAGGCTTCATGGGTACATCCTGAAACGACCACCTGCCACTCAAACAGGAGTCTGCCTCTTCCTGGACTGAGTAGTGGAACTTCAATATGGCCTTCTGTAAAGAGAACACAGACAGTTAAAAAAATATTTAGACATGACTGCAAATGTTTTATATTACTTTGTTTTATCTTTAACAATTACATTATAAAATAAGGTAACATGATGTAAAGCAATTTTGTTTCAGACTTTAATTTCACATTTATAGAATGTGTTAACCAAATACTTTATGTATGAAGTGGCATGTACATTATCTAACATTTCATTCTCTGCTCTCTGCATTTACCTCATAGAAAAATTCCTCCTCTGCGTTGATGAACATGTACTCCTCTTTGGGGGCTCCTCCTCTGGCTGGCTGACTCACTGTTGCTTCTTTGCACGTCTTGCTGATCATCAAACAATAGTGACACTTCCCACTGGGCTTATTGGTCCTCTGAGCTTCGCCGATTTCGTCTCTGGGGGGCAAAATTATTGTCAAGATTATTTTCCTGCACTAACACTAACCACTATTCAAACGATGGATTTATTTTTGACTAAGAACAAGAATACTTTAATCTTTTCTAGTCAAACCACTGAGTCACAAAAGATTAGAATCATCAGGCAACTAATCCAATTGACATGCATTCATAAAATGTAATTATCCCATTTTCAAAGCTGCTTTTTCCTTTACTACAAAGAATAAGGTCAAGTATCCATTTAAGCAACAGTACCTCAGCAATTAACAGATCATACAAAGTACAGAGGCAAATATAGTTCACAATATTCAGTGATTTGAAGGTTCATCCATAAACATACATAAGGTGAATCCCAATTCCTTTATTGTTCCTCTGTCCTCACTCAACCCAGAAGTTGTTCCGGTCTGCCATGATAAATGATGTCCCAGAGCTCTTATCATTGCTCGGAGGAGCTAGAATGCGGAAGTCTGTTATGGATTGACATGCCCCTCTATCAGAAATCAGTTTGTGATTGGATGTTTCACATGAGGGATCTCAGGAAAGGACATCTCATTTCGGTTAAAACACGTTTCCTCGGTTCTTCTGTCCTTGCATCTTACGTTGGTGCGACTAAGATGCAAGGAGAAGACAAGTGAGGAAAACATAGATCCAATTAGAGGAATTGGGATTCGACCCTTAGAGGTAGGTGTCTTCGCTTTTAAATGCCTATATACAGTGGGTACGGAAAGTATTCAGACCCCCTTAAATTTTTCACTCTTTGTTATATTGCAGCCATATGCTAAAATCATTTAAGTTCATTTTTTTCCTCATTAATGTACACACAGCACCCCATATTGACAGAAAAACACAGAATTTTTGACATTTTTGCAGATTTATTAAAAAAGAAAAACTGAAATATCACATGGTCATAAGTATTCAGACCCTTTGCTCAGTATTTAGTAGAAGCACCCTTTTGAGCTAATACAGCCATGAGTCTTTTTGGGAATGATGCAACAAGTTCACACCTGCATTTGGGGATCCTCTGCCATTCCTCCTTGCAGATCCTCTCCAGTGCTGTCAGGTTGGATGGTAAACGTTGGTGGACAGCCATTTTCAGGTCTCTCCAGAGATGCTCAATGGGGTTTAAGTCAGGGCTCTGGCTGGGCCATTCAAGAACAGTCACGAAGTTGTTGTGAAGCTACTCCTTCGTTATTTTAGCTGTGTGCTTAGGGTCATTGTCTTGTTGGAAGGTGAACCTTCGGCCCAATCTGAGGTCCTGAGCACTCTGGAGAAGGTTTTCGTCCAGGATATCCCTGTACTTGGCCGCATTCATCCTTCCCTCGATTGCAACCAGTCGTCCGGTCCCTGCAGCTGAAAAACACCCCCATAGCAGGAGGCTGCCACCACCATGCTGCACTGTTGGGACTGTATTGGACAGGTGATGAGCAGTGCCTGGTTTTCTCCACACATACCGCTTAGAATTAAGGCCAAAAAGTTCTATCTTGGTCTCATCAGACCAGAGAATCTTATTTCTCACCATCTTGGAGTCCTTCAGGTGTTTTTTAGCAAACTCCATGCGGACTT